TTAAAAATAAAAGGTCAGAGGAGTTGCAAAATGCTGAAATTGGGGATTATCTAAACCCCTATCTTATTGCCCTAAACTCATCATCTAACAAATTTAATCGTTTTAAATGCCCATAAAAATGTAATGCATGGTGGGGTACAAGATACCTTAAATTGTATTAGGGAAACTCTCTGGATTCCACAAGGACGGCAAAGTGTGAAAAGGGTGATTAAATCTTGTGTAATATGTCATTGTGTGGATGCCAGATTCTATATGTACCCAGGTCCTCCACCATTGCCAAGGGAGTGTGTACAATTAGTGAAACCATTTGATGTAACAGGTGTAGACTATAGTGGTCCAATCATTTTAACAGGTACTTCAGGTGGAGGCGGAGAATCGGATAAATAATTGGCCTCTGTCGTACATGAGTGATAGACCTGATACAGATGTATTAACACCTTCTCACCTAATATGTGGATGGAAATTGGAAGCTGCCCCTGTCTATAGAGATAATCCTGAAGAAAGTGATGAAGATTACAATGATGCGGTAGTGTTGTGTGATAAATCTAAAATGTTAAATAAAGTAATTGATCATTGGTCTAATGTGTGGCGTAATGAATATCTTCCTACACTACTTGAACTCTTTTATGGTGGGACAGAGGCAGTAAATCGACAGAACATTCAACCAGGTGACATTGTGTTAATTGATACTGAACAACATCGAACATTGTGGCCTCGGGCAAAGTATTGACATTGTACCCAGATGCACAAGGTGTTGTCCAGAATGTCAAAGTGTTGTGTCGTGGAGAGGAAAGTTTATGCACCATTAATAAATTGATTCCCTTGGAATTAAATGGTATTCAATCAAATGTAAATAAAAATCTAAGGGAAAGTGACATGAGTGATATTAAAGGTAATGCTGACCAAGTGATGCAGGAAAATGAAATTGTAGTAAGACCTACTAGGAGAACAGCCACTAAAGCCAGATCTGGCTGGAATCATCTCCTAAAGGAAGGAGTAATTTGAGTCGTTTAGGAACGAACTCCGCCTATTCGCAGTGTAGAAAATACTGTATATTTTCCAAAAATACAGTGTATTTTGTATGTAAATTGATGGCATATAATGCAGGTAATGAAAATTAATTTGTATATAAAGAACCAGCGATGGGTGAGCGTTGATGGGGAAGAGACGCCATTGTTTTGAACAGGGCAGAAGGCACGCAAGTGAAATATGCATAAATTTCGTCGCTCTGGACGTTATATTGTGGTTGAAACTTCCCAAATAGGAGCCAAAATTGTTGGATTTGCAGTCCTGCATAACGTGAGCATTAAGCAGATGGACAGGACAGCTTTGGAACCCCAGCTAAGTTGTCTATTTATGTTGAAATTCTGGCCAGTATTTTCTTCATAATTTAGGCAGGGGGGTTTTGAGTATGAAACACCGTAATCTCCAGACTAATTGGTGAGTCTTATTATTATAAATTCTCCTTCAATGCATATGTATTCACATTTTAAATTTAATATACAGTCCACATATTTATATTAATGTTTTTACCAGAATTCCTGGTGATGTATATTTCATTTGAAATTAATATAGGTCCAGAGTGACTCGTAGAGAGATAGATTATCGTATGTATCGAAGGAGGACATTTTTTGCGACCTAAGTGTCCTAAAATTCTTACTTGTCTCTGTAACCTTCATAAAGAATAATTATCTTTGTTACCATTTACTGGTATATATCTTATGAGTTACATCCAGGTAAATTTAATTTTCCACAGGTATATACACAGAAAGGTGATACATGGATATACGGATATATGAATATATACACACAGAGGTGTAGATCAATAACAACACTGCGACTAGCCAAGGACTCGAACCCGTGCTGCTTTGGCCTGCCTCATGGTGGGTGAAAACTCATGACACCTTAATCCGCTGGACCACATAGTCCTTAATAGTGCACCCAGCGGAACTGAGTGTTGTACTCACTACCCAAGGACATTACACCCCTGTTTGGTGTAATGAGTTTTCGCCCACCATGAGGCAGGCCAAAGCAGCATGGGTTCGAGTCCTTGGCTAGTTGCAGTGTTGTTATTGATCAATACCACTCGTTCGTGGGCAGAATAATATAAAATACTTCTCGTTGTACTAGTACAAACCAAACAGGGACTAAAAATGAAATTTGCCTAGAGTCATCCACACCAACGTATGTCCTTGGGTAGCGAGTACAGCATTCAGTTCCGCTGGGTGCACTACTCTTAAGGATTGTGTGGTCCAGTGGATTAAGGCATCATGAGTTTTCGCCCACCATGAGGCAGGCCAAAGCAGCATGGGCTCGAGTCCTTGGCTAGCCGCATTGTTGTTATTTATCAATACCACTTGTTCGTGGGCACAATAATACAGAGATGTGTATTTCTCTCGGCGTACATATGCTGAGACTTTAATTTTCATTTTAGGGATTAAAGTAAAGAGGTCATTAAGGCTGGATGTAAAAACATTACGTTCAGCCTTAATGACCCTAGAGTACTAATAGGTTTTAATGTTTTAGGACAGTCCGTTGCAAGCTGGGTATAGGCTGGTGCAGGCCCAATATAAGTTATTATAAGCTTGGTACAGGATGGTACAGGCTACATAGAGGCTGGTGAAAATTTGTTCAGACTCAGTACACAGTACAAGCGTACAGTCAGAAGTGTCAGCTTCATAACGGCTGAAGTAAACTCAGTACAGACTGGAGTGTGCAGTAGCGACGGCTCTGGTGACTGGACAGAAGGTTTTGGCTGCGACATCGTAGATGCTCCCTGAATCCTTGAAGATTGGCTGGAGGTGACTCATCTTATTCCACATGTGAATTACGTAAGAATCTGGGAAAACCTGTAAGAAAATGCGATCATAACACTGTATATGAACTAGCCACAGAAAGACTAAATATACAAGTATGTCATTCACACCAGAGGAGAATGTGGGATAGTCAATATTAACCAACATAATGGGTATTCGTTATTCACTTACTAATGTAGCCATCAGAAATTAATCAAACTAAGGGTAATTCATTAAAAATAATTATTCATTAACTTATTAACCAAAATAATTTTCATTCTTTCGCCAAAGTATGTCAGTTCAATTAATTTTTCTTTATACATTTTTATGAAAGTTGATATCCATTACGACATCTGTCATAGTGGATATCAATTATTTACTAAACAGTTTCTTATGAACCTGGACGTCCACTACTTCTTCCAAACTGTCCCATTAATCAATTCATTAAACTGGCCATTAACCTAGGCGACAAAAGCCTAGAAACCCCTAAAATTATCATTTAAAGTCATTAAACAATCGTCTGTATTTTATGAGGCCCAAAACTAAGAGTAAAACTTTAAACTGTTACGGGAAAAAAGTTTAGCTGTATAACTTTACTATGCAACCTCACTGTCATCCTGTTGGAGTAGTCGAAAGGCGAGATAATATATGTAAAAATTAAGCATCTTATTCCGTAATGTATCCTACATACAGTAATTTCTTAAGTCAGCGACAGAGGTGAATAATTTATTAGCCTGAAAAGCCTACTATTTAGGCGAAACGTTTCTGACTAAAGATACTTAACTGTTTTAAATGTTTCTTATGTGTTTGTCAGTATTGCATGTCATTATTACAGTGGTAGGATTAGAGGCGCAGAATGGGTCCAGGGCAGGACTGGGCCCACACCATATAATTATTTTCATTAGTTCATCGGAAACTTTTTGGGGATTTGAAAGACCTATGCGTTTTTTGGAAAGGTCATGACATAAGATATTTAGAAACCAGTGTTTACATTTCTATGTATCTTGGTCATTAAAATTCAGTTTTTGTATCTGCAGATTTATAATATCATTCTAACTTCTTTCCAGGTATAATGTTTACGCTGTGACTGTCACTCATGTACGCAGCTCGGCAATGTTGTTTATTTACAGAACTGGTGACTAATGTCTTGTGCTGCTTACTTAATGATGGTTCTTCCTGTACTGATACCATCCTGTGGTTGTTCTTTTCAGGAAATCTAGAACTTTCTAACCATGAGCACTGAACTGAATTCCAGCAAAAAAGGGAATGCAAAAGGAGAATTCCCTGTCCCAGAGGACAGCATAAGCAAAGGTACTCCTGTGCTTAAAACAAGGCCAGAATCAATCAAACGCCGATGATGCAGAGAAAGATAGAGAGCCAGCCTACAAGATGGAGAATACATGACAATCAAAAGCGCTTCAAGGAATTCGCAATACGAAAACATGATTAAAAGAAAACTAAAGATGCGCCATCGAACTTGTTATCAGAAGCCATACTGAAAACACAGAGAACGAGCGCAAGAGAGAGAGAAGAGAGTGAGAGAGAGATCGAAGAGAGAGAGAGAGAGAGAGAGAGAGAGGAGAGAGAGGAGAAGAGAGAGAGAGACAGACAGACAGAGAGAAGAGAGAGAGAGAGAGAGGAGAGGAGAATGCAATATGCAGTTTTAACAGGCAGGCACACTGAAAAAACGTGGACATTAAGGAAACAGCCATTTTGAAATTTCAACATGGCGGCCTTGTATGTATCTGCGTCAGTGTAAACATTGGTTTCCCGGATCCTTATATCATAACGTTTCCAAAAATGTATAAGCTTGCTAATTACCAATATTTTCCAAAAATAATAAAATGATAAGAAAGTGAATTTGACTTGACCGCCTACATGAAGAGTAAAGGTTGTATAATTAAACTACACAACTATTTATTCAACAAATTGCTCATTATCTCAACTCAACACGATTCACACAACTAAACAAAAATCAATTCACTATACTTGACACGACATGGTTAAGAAAGGGATCTAACACTCACCTCTGTAAAATTGATTGTTCCCTTTCTGGGAAGGAATGGAAATCGCCACTTCTCGTACGGCACTGGGTAAAAGGCTTTCCAGGAGAGGAGATGCACACCATGACACTGATCTCCTGGGGCCAGCTTTGGCCTTTCACACGCCTCTTTAAGTGTTCTTGTTAACAGCACAGGGCCGTTATTACCCCAGTCATTGGCCTGGTTCAGTTGAGGCAATAAATAAACATCAGACAATGTAGAATGCTTCAGAAATGGACGAAACGAAGTGTAAGATCGTCCAGGAAAACGAAATGTTAAAGTTTACAGAGCGCTTTGACAAGAAGTCATTCAGAGCTCTTTCTCACATGTTGTGGTGACCTCAAACACACACGCTAAAACTATCTAAAAGATGAAGATTGAGACACTTATGCAGCATATGGGAATCTTTATTCAGGAAACGTTTCGCCACACAGTGGCTTCATCAGTCCAATACAAAGAGGAAGGCGTAAGGAGAGGAGGAGTATGAGGTAATCAGTCCCTCAGCCTGGAGTCGATGTGTTCAGTCCATCAATCTTGTAGAATGTACAGCATAGGGCCGTAGACGTGGCTTATATACTGTAGTGAGGTGAGGTGAAGCAGGCGGAGGCGGGGTCATAGTGGTACCATCCACTAGTCCAAGTAGGTCTTCCGTCCAAAGGATGAACAAGTGTTGAAGAATTCTTTGAACAAGAACCCATGATCTGCAGTGTCTGACAGTTGCGATGACTGTTTTGAAAAATCCGACAAGTTGAAGATTGAGACACTATGCAGCATATGGGAATCTTTATTCAGGAAACGTTTCGCACACACAGTGCTTCATCAGTCCATACAAAGACTAAGGCGTAAAAAGGAGGAGTATAGGTAAATCCAGATTCCCTCAGCCTTCCTCTTTGTATTGGACTGATGAAGCCCAGATGTGGCGAAACGTATTCCTAAATAGAAGATTCCCATATGCTGCATAAGTGTCCTCAATCTTAAACATTCGGTTTATATCCAACATTCATCACAACTGTCAGACACTGCAGCATCAAGGATCTTGATACACAGAATTCTTCAACACATGTTCAACCTTTGGACGAAGACCTATTCGACTGAGTGATGGTACCACTATGACCCCGCCTCCGCCTGCTTCACCTCACCTCACTACAGTATATAAGCCACGTCTACGGCCCTATGCTGTACATTCTACAAGATTGATGGACTGAACACATCGACTCCAGGCTGAGGGACTGATTACCTCATACTCCTCCTCTCCTTACGCCTTCCTCTTTGTATTGGACTGATGAAGCCACTGTGTGGCGAAACGTTTCCTGAATAAAGATTCCCATATGCTGCATAAGTATCTCAATCTTCAACTTGTCGGTTTTTCAAACCATTCATCACATATCTAAAAGATAGAAATAATAAAGGAACAATTTCACGATAAAACTATAAACACTCACAATAGGTTAAATATCTGGCATTAATTATATAAGCATATCAAATGGTAAACATTAAAAAAAGAGATCTAAAATTTCTCCGAAGTCCCGACAGGTACATGTCACTGTTAAAAGTCCAAAATAAAACAAAACGGCCGAGGCTGCTGGCAGATCAAAAACGCCACACGAAAGGTTCTCCATTAGAAGCAGAGATGTAATGAGAAATAGGAAGGCCATAAATAAGGCTGTGAAATATTAGCCATTACTGCAGGCATCTTTGGATTATGTTTGACATCAAAAAAACAGTTCACATTGCACGCAATCAGGAATTTGAAGCCATTATGTAAGCGTAGCGTGTGATCAGGTACAGCATACCGTTTAGGTCTTGCACTTCCTGCTGAGTATAATAACATAAATAGTGTGACTGGAAACACTCATGAAACTAGATTCCATACACAGAGGAAAGAATATAGAAATATATTTATTATTGTCCTCTTGCTTCCGGGCGAGTGACCAAATCTGCGCAGATGCTCCTCAGTTGCCTGGCTGCAGTGGTGTGGGTGGTGCTTGTCGCGCCTCTGCTGTCAAACCAGGGAGAACAACATTTAGTCAACATGGCATTCAGTCATAGACACAGGATCTACACTGATGGCATTTGAGCTTATCCAAGGGCAAGAACGCCATCTTCAGCCAAGTCATTACTACCTAAGATCATTCAAGAGAGATGTTGACTTCAGGATGGAGAGTTTATACGGGGGTAGCTTAAACAGAGCACATAATTTTTTGTGAAAGTGCCTCTCAGCAACGGTCCTATGAAATCGATGGTCACTGCCGTTTTTCCAAGGACGTAAGTCTTGATGCAACACCAGCTGTACGTGTGAGATGATCGAACGGATCCAGGCTTACACGTAATGTCCCCTTTGGATGCTGAAGTCGTCTCAATGTCCCACCATTAACAGCACAAGCGAGCGGCCCATGTCCTTTCGCATTCTATTTCATTAATTTTAAACAAGTATCAGTAGAAACTAGCACCTTCCCGAAACTACTCCAAATGCAAGGGTTACACCAAACATAAAGGTGGTGACCCTACAGACTTTTTCCAACTAAAGGCCAAGTACAAATTTACCAATACTATCCAAAATCTTTGAGAAACTCGACACAGGAGACTATATTCATTTAATAACGGCACAAAACATACTCCCAACCCCTGCAATTAGATTCAGGAAAAAAAAAGCATAATGATGCAATCAAAAAATGCCAAGACTGCTTTCACACAGCCTTGGAAAATAAGGGAATATCCACAGGACTTTTTTATGACCTAAGAAAACCTTATTGAGCACAGTAGACCACGAACGTCCTCCGACCACAAACATGACCATTTACGGTATAAGAGTCCCATTGCGCTTGCGTTATTTCAAATCTTACCTTACTAATCGGCATCATATTTCACCCATTAAAGACACAGCATCAACAACACGGGCCACTTTGATACTTGAGTTCCGTAGGAAGTATCCTTGGTCCCCTGCTCTTGTCCTCATATACATCAATGATCTTCCAAGGTAATCCCAACACCTGAAACCCATTCTCTTTGCTGACGAACACGGCTTATGTCATCTCTCACCCTAATCTTGCCACCCTCAACATCATTGTTAACGAGGAGCTGAATCAAAATATCTATTTGGATGACAACCAATAACTTACGCTTTAACACTGCACAAACCTACTATATTATGTTGGTAGCCGAGCAGGAAAAGCACAAATTATCATTAAGATCGACAACACTAATTGCAGACATAATGAGGGCAAATTCCTTAGGCTATACCCTTGACAACAACCTGAATTTCAGCACCCATATCCAACACATCACCAAAAATTATCCAAAACGGTTTGCGGGATCCTCTCCAAGATACGATACTAAATTGCCGCAAAATGCCCCTTCTCACACTATACCACTCACTTATTTATCCATACCTCACTATGCTATTTTTGCTTGGGGATCAATTGCAGCAACACACCTAAAGCCAATAAAAACCCAACAAAAAGCTGCGTAAGAATATCCACTAAATCCCACCCCTGGCAACACCCCCCCCAATCTCATAGATCTAAACTTACTCCCTCTTCAGTACATCCACACTACTACAGGTGCAATCTACATCTCCGGACCTTAAACTCCAATATCAAACCTTGACGCAAAAAAACGCTTCTTGTTAGTTGTGACAGAACCCACAGGCATAACACAAACACAACATCTCTACACATTCCCCGTGTCCCGACTAAACCTTTACAAAAATTCAATGTAATGTCAAAGGCCCTAAAATCCGGAACAACCCTACCTGAACTCCGCTAGAACTGCAGACACATTCATCCCTTCAAACAACCATTAAGAAAACATTCTATCTCCCTGATACACCCCATCACTAACTACACGAATACCACCTGGTGGTTCACACTTACACTCACTCACCCATTTGACCATAACAGAAATATTAATCTCAATCTTAAAATAATGAATCTATGAATACTCCAATACTGAAACATGTACTGTGCCAAAACAAAAGCATTCACATTGCTAAACTCACAAACTAGTATTTAGTCACTTAGCCATAATACCAACTTACCTCATAATTTGTAAATATTAAAATCAAGAAATAAACTAATCTGCCCCGACAATGCCTAGCCCATGCTAGTGTTTTAGTGGTACACTCTGTAATCATTATTTAACCTACAGTACCCACACAATAAAACCCAAATATCTGTAAATTCAGCATTGTAATCCCTTTTTTTAAAAGAGAGAATAAACTTTGAATTGAATTGAATATCAGAAGAGTTTTTGAGAAATATGGTACTGTTCATTTGGCCCAGCATGGTACATGGGTGACGGATGCCTATGCAGGTCTGTCGGAAGGCTCTTTTAATCTAAAAATGACATTACGACATCCCATACCGTCCTACGTGTACCTTCAGGAATTCATGACACAGGTCATGGCTTCGTACGCCAGGCAAAGACGTACATGCAGGCTGTGTGGGGAATATGATCACATAGCAGCAGCGTGTAGGAAGTGGCAACGAGCTCCTGGCCCAGAGGCAGAGGCTTCTGCTGCTACAACAGAGGAAGCAGGAGGGGATCTGCTATGTGAAGGAGGGCGTGGTCGTCTATGGAGCGAGATAATGGATGAGGCGCATAAGGCTGGGGGGAGGGTGAGGGCCCTCGACCAGTTAACTGGCCCAGAGACGCTTCCAGAGGCTAGTGACGAGTGGAAAGTACAGGAGGAAGTGTTGGAAATTGAGAAGGAATTAGATGAGGTGCTGAAATCTTTGTCACTGCCTAAGGAGGCGGCCACACCTGGGAAGGTGGTAGATGACGAGTTGACAGCTGAGGTGTGTCAACGACTGGTGAACTACCCGAATGATGGTAGTGACAGTGTGGCAGAGGTGTCACCGGAATCATTTAAACAGTGTACAGTGGAGGTTGAGGTACATTGTGAGGCATCCCCAACGAGCAATGAGAAGCGATGTCACAAGGAAGATGGCCGCTGCGTCAATTCGATGATGTCCTAACGCCAGCGCAGCAGCCTGGGGAAGCAAACATGGGCAGAAGGTGAAGGAGAGCGTGGCCCACGACAGGAGGCACCGGAAAGAAGGTGGAGGGGAGAGATGGAAGTGTGGAAGGTTACAAGTGGATCCATAAGTTCTGGTGACCATGGGAAGAGGTGAAAGGAGAGGAGGCAGGGTGAAACTTTATAGCCTCCCGTGTATGACTGT